CGGATTACTGTAAGAATCGAGTGCCGGACTGAATTTTCGTTCCTGTCATTTCCATATCGTTTGTCATTTTATGAGAATACGTTGTTGCTTTAAGTAGAGCCGATGTTTGGGTCGATAATGCGCTGCGGCTCATTTCCTCTGAAGTGTCTTCTTGTCTTCTCATCTTCAGTCGGTTCCATCTCTTCTCTTGTGAATTGCTCTTATTGTGGGACTTGATATAAGTCATTGAGAATTCCATTAAAGCGGGATCCTCCCACCCTTCGCTCCCTTTTCTGCTCTCTCTTCTGGCAATGACCGCTTTTCTCTTATGCCGGCCCCTTGTAACTGTTTTCGTACGTGGAGTATTGTTCTTTCATGAGTTCATACAGTCAGACTACCTCTGTTTACTTTTGTTTTTACATATAGATATCGTCCAGTTTCCAATCCTTCGGCAGCGTGCGCTCAAACTATTTTTGGTCTCTTTCACTCATCGATTTTGATTGAAGTTTATTTATATAGACGTTGTTCTAGATTAGGAAAGGATTTTTGGTAAAGTTTCTAGAGCTGACGTTGATTATTTCGTCAAATACCATGTGTTGCCCATTTGTTCCCTTTTTAGAGTTGTTCTTGTTCCAGGGTTGTGTCATATGTAATATGGCTGACGGCCCAAGAAGTCCAGAACATGTTGCCGTACTGCAGCCGTCGGCTGTTGAAGTCATTCAAGTATGTTCTGGTACTGACCGCCATTGTATCGACTGTACTAATCTACAAGGTCTCATTTCGACCTGATATTGCTGTTCAACGCTATCCCCCTCAACGTTTATCTCACTATGAATGCCCTTGTAACACATCGATCTATACTAATTCTGGAAACTCACCTTATATTAACCAAAGCTTAACAGAACATCGCGCTTTGCTTCTGTTAGAAAGCGCCTATTCACGTCATGGACGTCAACTTATACAAATTCTTATCGCATTGAAGTACCCGTACAAAGCAGAGACGTTCTCGAAGAATCTGCCTCTTCTCACAACCGCCACACATGGCCGTTATTCTATTATTATTATTGAAAATTACTACAAATACCTTAACATGGCAAAATGGAATCGCCAACTGTTGGATAAATATTGTATCGACTACAATGTTCCACTAATCTCCTTTCTGCAAACGAAACCCAGCAGCACGTTCCAAAAGGTGAAAATCAAGGGCTCTCAACTGTACTTCTGGCAAAATCAAGAAGTTATCTCATTGAAAGTAGCTGAATCGGATATTCACCGCATATCCAAGATTGGCGCAGAGAGAACGGATATCAACACAGCAGAATGGGTCCTTTTCGAGGAGTCACCTTTGTACCCGACGGTGAGTCGTCTTCCAGTGTATATTGTTGTTGTTTTGTTCTTTTCCTATTGTTGTTTCAACTTCCATATGTGAACTTTCCTTATTAATTGGGGTTTTAGGTACTCGCAGCAAGGGACGCCTTCGGAAGACCTAGGGCTGCCATAGTTCACGATCCCGGAAAGGTTGATAGTGTACAACGCGTGCTTTTCGGTCACAATATAACTGATTGGACAGTCAAGGTATGTTTTTGTTTCTATACTCTTATGCTGCCTTAGATTTTGATTTGCATCGATGCTGCACTTGCGTCAATAAGAAAAAGACTCTTCTGGAGAACGCTGCTTTAAGTTGTAGTAGGAATGCCTTGTTCATTACGTTTTGAGATTTTTGTAATGAATGTGATTTGGCAGGAGAGTCCAGAGTTCAGAGTGGTTGCTTTGCTTAGCTTTTTTATTCTACCTTTTCAACTTTATTTGTCATATTTTCAGATGACTTTCCTCGACGTTCTGTGGTACACAACAGGAGGTCGTATTGGGTGGAGTTTGGATCGTTATATTCAGATCGATATCGATGACATATTTGTTGGAGCTCGTGGGACACGTATGATAGAAAGTGATGTTAGGTGAGGAGTTTTACACCTCTAACTGTTTGATTGAATGATATGGAGTTTTTTCATCGTATCTGTGTTTTGTATGGCCTATAAGTTTGTTTCCAATTATTGGATGTTGCTATAATGTTCTTTACGCATCCGTTTTCGTGTCAGGGCACTGCTCAAAAGTCAGGAACAACTTCGTGAACACATTTCGAACTTCTCTTACATGCTTGGGTTTTCCGGTAGTTATTTTCGTAATGGAGATGATAACGAGGATCGAGGAGATGAACTTCTTGTGGGTCAGTTTTACCAGAAAAGCATTACCTCTTACACATGGGTAATTCTGCAAAAATCATGTCGTCGGTTTCATTCTGAGCTGGTTAATAGCTTAGCATATTATCATTCATTTCTAATTAGCACCGTGACCAACATTTTTTTAAGAGCTGGCGCAAAATTTCATCTGGTTTCCACATATGTGGCGTCACAATCATGCACACGAGCATAATTTGACGTATATGGAAGCGACAATGACTCAGAATTTGATGTTTGCTCAGGTGTGCTTTTTTAATGAGGTTGTACGGTAAAACAGACTTATGGGTTTTCTTTTCAGAACATGCGGCTTCCTGTGAAATATCCTTACGCGGTAGCACCGCAGCATGATGGTGTGTATCCTGTGCATTCGGAACTTTACAAAGCTTGGAAGCGAGTAAGTTTGATCGTTTCAGTTTTTGGTACTTATTTTTCACTCTCATTCACTTCACGATTCAGATTTGGAAGGTGGAAGTGACTGCTACTGAGGAATACCCTCATTTCAAGCCAGCCTCAGGGAGGAAAGGGTTCATCCACATGAACATTTCGGTAAGAATTTTTAGTTCAATGTTGCTCTGGAATGGTGTTTGTCTCCCCTTTATGCCATACACTCCTTGAATATTTTGTCGAGCTTACTGTTTGGTTCCTTATAGGTTCTTCCACGTCAGACCTGTGGCCTCTACACGCATACGCAGTTCTTTCACAATTATCCTGGCGGTCTTTCCAAGCTTACAAGCTTAATTTATGGTGGGGAGCTCTTCTTCACCATTTTAATGAATCCGGTACGTTTTTCAAATTTTCATCGGTTCAGCTGTCTTACTGTCTACTTAAAAAGGTTGTCTTCCACTGGTTAAAAGAAACCATTTTCAGATATCTATATTCATGACTCATCAACAGAATTTTGCGCATGATCGATTGGCATTGTTCACATTCGATAATCTTGTGCGGTTTGTCAGCTGTTGGACTAACATTCAGCTGCGTTGGCAAAACCCTATCGAATCTGCACGAATGTATTTCTCCTTGATGCCGCAAGAGACTGTGCCGCTGTGGAGCGTGAGTAAAATTGTAATCCAAGAGATATGGGACAGTAATGGGAAGAAACATATTTGTGTATTCTAGAAAACATGCAAGTGATTGATATGGTGAAAATTTGCTTTTAATTAACAGAAGGAGTATAGTAACCTTTTAGAATCCTTGCGAAGATCCACGGCATAAAGCTATTTTACCACCTTCTTTAAATTGCTCGAACTTCACTCTTCCGACAGTTCTTATCGTCGGACCACAGAAAACAGGTGAGCTTCACAGTTGACGATATTCTCTCAAAGCCTAGATCCGGATATACATAGATAGGGTAGGGATTCGCTTTAGAGCAATCTCCAGCTATTTTTTTTTTGCTCTAAGTTTGCTTGTTAGACAATTTGTGAGAGGCATTTTCTTAGGATTGCGGAGTTGAAATAATCCTTCTGTTCTTTTTGAAGCGTCTGACGTTTTAGTATTCCAAAGTGTTGCTTGTTCTTATCTTTGGCCATTACTTTTCCTCAATTTCTCTTCCTTTGATCTTTCCTTGTCCTGTTTTCCACGACGGGAGTGTCCCCTATTTTTGTATCTTCGAGTGACCGTAATTCCTAGTTATACTAAACTTACAAGTCCAAGCGTAAGCGAGCTAATGACATTCCTTCTCTCAGGTACCACAGCTCTTGCGACCTTTTTATCATTGCATCCCAATGTATCAACAAATGCACCAATTCCGGAGTCATTTGAGGAGCTACAGTTTTTCGGTGGAGCGAATTACCATAAAGGAATAAAGTGGTAAGAAGTCATAAGATCGATGCCATTCATACCAAATTTAAGTTTGAGTGGAACTTAAACCCAATGTTCTGCTTTATTTAGGTATTCATCTAAGTTTTCGCCTGCTCACGTCGTATTCGATAAGAGTGCAACATATTTTGATAATCCGGCTGCTGCTAAGCAAGCATTCACCCTTGTTCCTAATGCTAAAATTGTTGTTATTCTATATGATCCTGCTAGGAGAGCTTATTCTTGGTACCAGGTGGGTTTAGACTTTCACTTCTCATAGACAGAAGAAGAATAAGCTTCTTTTGTTAGCATATGCTTGCCCACAATGATACAACTGTTATTGCTGCTGGCAGTATGGACAAGGTGTTGGATGCTACCACTCCGCAACTGAGAAAGTTGAGACAAAGATGCCTGTCAGGAGGGCGGTCAGTCAATTTGGCGCTGTACAGCTTTTGAGTGCTTTTGAGCGAGCAGTACAACTAATTACACGCTTTGATTGATTACGAAGCAATATTCGTCTGGGTTCAGATACACACACCACCTTGATCGATGGTTGGAACATTATTCTTTATCAAATCTGATCCTTATAGACGGTGAAGCATTACGGGAGGAGCCAGTGCGGGTTAGTTTTCTTACTTTCTTAATTTTTTCGGGCCTGTTCCAAGCTGCTTCTCATTATTTACATTTTTCTTGACTCTGGAGAAGGAAAGAAATAGGGAGAGTTTTCCTTATAGAACTTTGTTAATTATGTAAATTTGAATGCCATAATGGGCTATGTTTGTTCGTCTGAGCTCATGGTCAATCACAGCTAATCTTCAACATGTGGGGCTCTTCAATATTTTTCTCTAGGTTTAATCTTCAGAGAAAAAAAACTTGTGTCACCTTATGTTGAAGAGAATTTGGATCCAAGGCGGGATCATTTTTAGTGGACTGAAGCATTTTGTGCTCTAGCTTTTCTTATTCTATGTTCATCGCCACTGGCCGCTTTCAGACTTCGATGACGGTCCGTCCGTCCGACGCGTGCGTGCTGCGACGGCGGTCGCTAGAGTAGTGTTGACAGAGCTGGCACGTGATCTAGTGTTGACAACAACGGTCAGGCGCCGCCGTCGCAGCACGCACGCGTCGGACGGACGGACGGTCGGTCGGATGAGTCGTTAAGGTCTGAAAGCAGCCACTGTCAGCGATTACATTAATATTTTTTTCTGTTCTGTTTCATGGTAATGTATCACATTTCCTAAGTGAGAGCTCTTCCTTTTTAGGTCGTGACGGAGTTGGCGGATAAGCTTGGGCTTGCGAGTTTTGACTTCAAAGGCCACATTCGTTACAGTGCCTCGAAAGGATTCTTTTGTCAAGTGAGTAGCTTGTGTGTTGGTTCCTATTTATTCCCTTCTCCTGTTCTCTTACTCTTCCAGTCTCCGACTTAAAAAGTTGTTACAGGTTTCTAAAGAAAAAACGAAGTGCCTCGGACGTGGCAAAGGACGAGTTTATCCACCAATGACACCGGATTTGTGGTCTCGTCTCAATAATATATTTCTCCCAGATAATACTGCGCTTCATAAATTTCTTGTAAAGAATCACCTCCCGGTGCCAAGGTGGTTACGTAAGCTATTGGAAGGATAGCAATTCAGCTTTGGATCTTAACTTCTTAACAACCTCACCCACATCGAGCCTTTGTTTGTTTCGATAGGAAAATTTTTTTATATAACAGTTTATCACCTTTCTTGACTGAAGTGTTGTGGTGAAATTGATAGGATGTGATAGACTCGGCTTGATGTTGCACTTACCACTACCACTCAGGTCAAGCTAATTAATTTAGCAAAAAAGGTGATTAGTCAGCATTTTGTGTGAGATACGGGCAGTATTTACTCATATTATTACCACATGACGTTTTCACATTATAGATTGTGATGTGCTGTTTTAGCTGAATTGCATGCTTGCTTACAGTACTCTGAAGGCGAGCCTTCAGATTTTATCTTCATAATTCTTCTTTTCGATTGTTTTCAGTGAATGTAACTGTGATTATTGAATCCGCTGTGCAAAGCTCCCATTAGGTAGCATACTTTTATTTTGTGCAATTTTGCTTTTGTATCATGTAAATGTTTGTATATTGGTCCCCATTGCATTTGATTCTCTGACCCTGCCCCCTTTGCCCCTATTTGTGAAAGAACGTTCTATAAATAGAGATTTTCTCACTGTTTTGCATTGGTGTGTAGTTGTTTGTCATCAACGAGCTACCTTTTGTGTTTTGTGAACTTTTACTCATTTACTCAACTACAGTGGTTCTTAAAGGTTATTAAGCGAAGCAATGCCGAAGTACTATTGTGACTACTGTGACACTTTCCTCACACATGACTCTCCATCGGTTCGTAAAACTCACAATGGTGGACGCAAGCATAAGGAGAACGTTCGTATGTTTTACCAGGTGAGTTTAGTTGCAGAATTTTTCTACGTTTTTTTTTTTTGGTTTCATATTTTCTTGTCGAGCCAGTTTGTGTTTTTTTTTCTTTTTTGGGCAGTTCATCGAGATTTGGCTAGTAATTGTAGTAGCGAGTTGTCTGCCGCTTTGCGTTTTAGCACAGTTGTCGTAATTAGGAAAAGGGAGTTTTCGTGGGATAAAATGCATGAAGTGGTCGTGTACAAGAAGCTTTTCATATGCTTTACTAGCAAACTTTACTTGTCTGTAGGTAAATGTATAAATAGATTCATTATGTCTGTAATGTTCTGTTTCAGCGCTGGATGGAAGAACAGGCCCAAAAGCTAGTAGATGCCACGGCACGGGCGTTTACGGGAGGTAATACGACGAAACCTCTCGGTAAACCTGGAATGCCTCCAATGGGAGCACCTATGATGCCAGCAATGATGGGTCGACCGCCAATGGTTGGTGCTCCGGTTGCGGGAATGCGTGGACCAGTTCCGCCTTTTGGTTTTCCTGGAGCGGTTAGTTACTATGCGTCAGAAAGGATTTCGGTTAAATTGCACCGTAACGAGGGTATTTCAGATGCCTCCGTTTGGCGTTCCGATGGGCATGCCTCCGATGCGTGGACCCCCAGCTCCTTTCCGTCCTGGACCTCCTCAGTGAAATGTCTCTTTTTATTTAATTGAAATTGCTTTCCATTACATGGAAGATATCTCATGTTCCTCTCTTGAGTTTTTAATTTATGTTTATTTGTTTTGATTCGCTGCTCATTCATCAGAAGCAACGAATGAAATTGTGTTTACAGTGAAGTTTTTTGCTGCTGTATTTACTGCAATAAAGTTTTCATGGTTGGTTTGTTGCGTGGTTGTACACTCCGAATTCGAA